CCTTTTATGGCTGCATAGTATTCCAAGTTGTATATGCTCCACATTTTCTTTATCCAGTCTGTCATTGATGGGCATATGGGTTGGTTCCAAGTCTTTTACATTGCAAATAGTACTGCAGTTAGCATCCATGTGCATGTGTCTTTTTTTTTTTTTTTTTTTTGAGACGGAGTTTTGCTCTTGTTACTCAGGCTGGAGTGCAATGGCACGATCTCGGCTCACTGCAACCTCCGCCTCCTGGGTTCAGGCAATTCTCCTGCCTCAGCCTCCCAAGTAGCTGGGATTACAGGCATGCACCACCATGCCCAGCTAATTTTTTGTGTTTTTAGTAGAGACAGGGTTTCACCATGTTGACCAGGATGGTCTCGATCTCTCGACCTCATGATCCACCCGTCTCGGCCTCCCAAAGTGCTGGGTGCATGTGTCTTTATAGTAGAATGATTTATAATCCTTTGGGTATATACCAAGTAATGGTATTGCTGGGTCAAATGGTATTTCTGGTTCTAGATCCTTGAGGAATCACCACACTGTCTTCCACAATGGTTGAACTAATTTACAATCCCACCAACAGTGTAAAAGTGTTTCTATTTCTGCACAGCCTCGCCAGCATCTGTTTCCTGACTTTTTAATAATCGCCATGTAACTGGCATGAGATTCTATCTCACGGTGGTTTTGATTTGCATTTCTCTAGTGACCAGTGATGATGAGCTTTTTTGTTGGCTGCACAATGTCTTCTTTTGAGAAGTGTCTGCTCATGTCCTTCACTTGCTTTTTGATGGTTTTTTTTTTCTTTTAAATTTGTTTACGTTCCTTGTAGATTCTGGATATTAGACCTTTGTCTGATGGGTAGATTGCAAAAATGTTCTCCCTTTCTGTAGGTTGCCTGTTCACTCTGATGGTAGTTTCTTTTGCTGTGCAGAAGCTCTTTAGTTTGATTAGATCCCATTTGTCAATTTTGGCTTTTGTTGCAATTGCTTTTGGGGCTTTAGTCATGAAGTCTTTGCCCATGTATACAGCATTTGTTTATACAGGCATACCTCAAAGGCTTTGCTGATTTGGTTCCAGACCGTAACAAAGCAAATATCACAATAAAGCAAGTAAATGAATTTTTTGGTTTCCTGGTGCACATAAAAGTTATGTTTACACCATACTGTAGTCTATTAAGTATGCAAAAGCATTATGTCTAAAAATTATATAGCTTAATAAAAATACTTCATTACTAAAATATGCTGATGATTTTCTGAGCCTTCAGCAAGTCATCTTCTTGTAATCTTTTTTGCTGGTGGAGGGTCCCACTTACTGATAATTCCTTTAAAAACGACAGTGAAGTTTGCCCCATCGATTGACTCTTTCGTGAATGATTTCTCTGTGACATGCAGACATGATATGAGCACATGCTGTTAGAAAAATGACGCTGATAGACTTGCTTGACACAGTTTGCCATAATCCTTCAATTTATAAAAAGCACAATATCTGCAAAGCACAATAAAGCAAAGTTAAAAATATTGGGTATGCCTGTGTAGGTCTTATACCTTTCATATGGCATTTATCCAGAGGTATTCAATAGCTTTGTCATTGATGTGAATGTGAATTTTGTCACATCTCAATCCTGAAACTAGTTATAGTGACCATAAAAGAATGGCATTGCTTTTTTGTATTTTTAGCTTGAATCCAGCCTCTTTCCTAAATGCCACTGAGATTTTTCTAACTGAACAATAATATCCACAAATAATCATACCAGTTTTCAACATTTACATGTTGATTTTATTTTCTTCTTATTTCAAAAGGTGGAACCTCTAAAACGTGAGAAGTGGAATCATGCTTATTTTCTTCCTGATTTTAATGCTTTAGTATTCCATCCATTTAATATAATCTGTACAGATTTTTTATTAATATTCATGTTTACAATGTTAATTTTATTTCTATATAGTTTGTCTCATCCTATTTCTATTGTATATCACTTTGTCAAGAATAGCTGCTGAGTTTCGTCAAATGCCTCTGCTATCTGCTGACATACACCTTTCACTGAAGTAAGGAATAGAAAGATTTGCTAATTCTTGCATCCTTATCCATGGAATAAACCATAGTTGATGTTGGGGTGTCATTTTTAAATATGGTGCTAAATATTTCTAATATTTTATAATTTGGGCACGAATGGCCACAACTAGGTTTATTTTTATTTTTTCTTTTGACATGTTTTCTTTATCATATTTTGGTATTTGTATAATATACAATAATGGGAATATGACTCTTTCTGTGTTCAAAATATTTTGACTAATGTAAAAATTAACTGTTCCCTAAGGGTTCCTCACAGCTTGCCTTTAAAATTATCTGGGCTTGACACCTTTTTAATGATAGATGGTAGATCTTTTAACAGCCTTTTTCATTTCTTTTGTGGTTACCTGTCTATTCAGGCTTTTCTTCTAATACTTAAGTATTAGAAAATACTTTCTTTTCTAATTCAATTTAAATTGAATTTTTATTTGCTAATTCAATTATATTGAATTTTGCTAGAAAACTGTTCAGTTTCCTCTGGAGTTTAGAGCATCCTAACCTAAGTTTGCACATAATACTTTGTTAGAATTCTTCCCAATCCGTTGTTAGACTCATCGTATTTCCAGTTAGTTTCATGATTTAATACTTTCAGAGAACACTCATCTCAGGTGAGCCCTTATTCCTCCTGGATAGATGAGGAAACTGAGGCAAAAAGTGGGTAAGCAGCTTATTGCAGGGGCACACAGCCAGGTAGAGAATCTAGACTCAGACCCAGGACTCCCATCTTCCCATGGGAGCTGGGCTCCACCCACCTGTGTTCTTTCCAGTAATGTTTACATGAAGCCCCATCCTCCTCAGGCTCTGAAGGTCTGAAACCATAAGGATGGACTGAGAGTTATGGCTGTATGTCCAGAAGAGCTTCCTCTACCCTCTCGATGCCAACATCCCTTAGGGAAATGCTTGTGTATTTGGATCTAGGAAGTGCATTTTCAAGTGTTGGAACACTAAAAATACTCAAAACGCATCAGCAGTATCACTCTTATTTTCTAAAATAAAAAAGACATTCATTTACTTTGCAAACAGCTCCAAATGAACATGTATAAAAACTCCGTTAGCCTTTGCGTGGTGGGGGATTTGGTGGGCTTCAGCTTGAGTGTACATGCATAGATTCATATTTCTGAGGATACTCCCAGCAGCATCCTGTGTTTGGTACAATTTCATAAAGTAAGACTTTATACATTATGCAGACTTCTCTGTCGTAAAGGATAGTCACATCTAATATATACATTACTCTGCAGTTGCTTTAAACATGACCGAGTTTTAATAGTTGGGGGAGGGCCGGGCGCAGTGGCTTACGCCTATAATTCCAGCACTTTGGGAGACCAAGGCAGGTGGATCATGAGATCAGGAGATTGAGACCATTCTGGCCATCATGGTGAAAATTTGTCTCTACTAAAATACAAAAAATTAGCTGGCCATGGTGGTGGGCACCTGTAGTTCCAGCTGCTCGGGAGGCAGAGTGGGGAGAATTGCTTGAGCCTGGGAGGTGGAGGTTGCAGTGAGCCAATATCATGCCACAGCAACCCAGCCTGGCAACAGAGCAAGCTCCATCTCAAAAACAAAAAAAGAAAGAAAGAAATAGTGGTTGGGGGATTAGATGTGATACTCTGTAGAAGCCGTTAGCATGGCGCTAGGGTGCATAGTAGGAACTGGCATCAAAGATCACACCCATGGTGGGTTTTGACCTGGGGAAACCCAGTCATATATCTCAGAATACACCCAGGTACAGGAAAAGCATTCATGTGCGGTCACCCTGAGAATCTCACCTGTTTCCGACTCCCACACCTATCTTCTAGCCCTGCCCCTTCCAGGTCAGCATACTCCGGGAGCTGCCCTGTTGATGCAGCAGCCACAGGCCTGGCTTTGGGAGCCTTTCTCTAATTGCAGCATGTAGATGCACATCAGAGCTGCTTCACAGGCCCCCACCCACTTCTCCCCACCCCCGACAGGAGGCTCAAGACTCAGCTGCCCCACCAGCTTCATCTCCGGGGTCCCAGTTCCCAAGCCTGACTTCAATTTGGAGCCCGGTCTCCCCTAATGTGGAACCAGCCTCCACATGCCTCCCCACGACTGTCCCCATGGTAAGGCCCCTTGCAGTTGTCATTGTCCATCTGCTGTTGCTCACTGAGTAACTTCCCCTTGCTGACTCTTCCCTCTGTCACAGTGAACATCTGCAGATGCTGAAGGTGGGATGCAGTCCTCCACGGACCCCTCCCAGCTCACCTGGCCACAAGCCCTCTTGCCAGCACATCAGTAAAAGAATCCTTGTGCTGTCCCTCTTTCTCCACAGCCAATTCCTCCTCCTCCCGGGAAATCCCTGAGCCCTGGCTGGGGGCACATTCCTCCTCTGGACTCAGCACCACGGACAGTGTCATGAGGCCCTAAACCACACCCCAACCCCCAGACTTCCAGTGCCCAAAGAGGGAGGCAGAGCACTAACCCAGGCCTGGGACCCATGTCCTCTGTGGGGAGGTCACCCCTTGCAGGTGCCACCACACTTAATTCCCCAGAATTAAGTCCCTGTGGGTCTCACAAAGTTTCAGACTTCAAGGAACATTTAGGTGCAGTATTCCCTGACCTCTCAGGGAAGGCTCTCACTGTGTTTGTTCATCAACCCCAAAGACAGACTGAAGATGTGAATAGATGAGAGTAAAAGGTGTGCCCTCCCCAGAGTTGGGCTCTGTGCTGACCGCCCAGCCTTCCAGGGGCACTGCTCTGCCCCGTGGGAAACTCACTTGACCCTTCATGGCTCAAAACCCAGGCTTCTGTTCAGCTGGGCCTGTCCTGGGGCTGGAGGCCGCCTCAACCCACCTCCAGGGTGCAGCTGTCTTCTGGCTTCTCCTCCCACCTCCCTGGGCCTCCCTGGGACTTGCCCTGGGTAAGAAGTCCAGAGCAAGAGGTGGTTGATTATTTCTCAAATGTGTCAATTTCCATTCTGTTTTGTCCAGACAGCTGATGAGTGGGCTGAGAAAATGCCCAAAAGCTCGCCACCTTCCTCTCCCAAGGCCGTGGCCAACAGAGACCTCCTGACTCGTCTCCACAAAGCAGTGACTTCCCATTACCATGCCATCGCCCAGGACTGTGAGAATTTTGACACCATGAAAACGAACACCATCTCCAGAGATGAGTTCAGAGCCATTTGTACTCGCCACATCCAAATCCTGACGGACGAACAGGTAAGAAACGCATGTCAGTCCTCACCCTACGTGCTGTCGGCTGAGCGTCAGCCTGGTCCCTGGCCAGTGTACAGAGTTTAAGATTGTTCTCTGTTTTTAAAATACTTGTAGTTTTATTATTTTGTTTTTCAATCTTCCTGAAGATTCCCAGGAGCCTTCTGTTTATGTAACAACTATGAATTGTGCCATTTTCATCAGGGTACAAATTAATGTCACTGTTACTTTTAAAATCAAATTAAACTCAGCTTCGGCTCCCACATTCCTTCTGCCTTCCCTGGAGCATCCCAGAGCATTCCGTATCTTCTGTAAAAGGTCAATAATTGTGTTTTATCTGCATAGTATATAGGGTTAGGTCCTATACAATGTTATATTGTATAGGATATAGAATGTGTGATACCTGTACAACTAACATGTGCTATAAATGTTACATGTAATAAACATTTTGAGCTGGGTGCTTTGGCTCATGCCTATAATCTTAGTGCTTCGAGAGGCCAACACAGAAGGATTTCTTGAGCCCAAGAGTTGGAGGCTGCAGTGAATATTATTATACTACTGCATTTCAGCCTGGGTGACAGAGGGAGACATTGTCTCAAACAAACAAAAAAAAAAGCTTTTTGGTGCTGCATCACTAATCAATTTCCACTATAATTGATCAGATAGAATTAGAATCAAACGTTCAAACACCAAAATAAGGGAGATACCTCGGTGTAGTTTGTGGTAATGTGGTCTGAGTCTGTCATGGGCAGCAACTCTCTGGGGCCAGTGCCGCGCAGGCAGTAGAAAGAATTTACCAAGACAGGTGTGGGTCAAGAAAGGCAGATGTACTAGAAAAAGCATGAAAATAGGTTGCAAGGGCACACTGGGCAAGTCAGCAAGATAAAAGCTGACTGCAAAGAGACAGCGTTTGCTGGGGATTTTATAGGATGGGGCTTGTGCTGGATGATGAACAAGGCTTTGTGCAGTACTGAAGACACCAGGGTTCCAGTTAGCTACCTTGCATTTTTCTATGAGCCGAAGGTCTGGTGATGGCTGGGCGCAGGAAGATGGTGAGTTATTCATGCGGGAGGGCTCCATGTTCTGGACCATGAAGAAAGGCGGACTTAGAGCTTACCTGCTTTTTTGTTTTGCTTTCCCCTGTTCCCGCCAGCCTGACTCCTCTTCTTTATTTAGACTCCACATGGTCCAAAGAGGGTGGCCAGTCTGTCCTCATGCCTCAGGAGTCCCAGACTCTGGCGGAAGGCTGGTGCTCCTCCTGCTACCTCAACCCCACCTCAACCTGCCTTCTCCTTGCCACTACGTAGTGTTGCTGCTGGCAGTGTGGGATGCTCTGGGCCACTACTCTAAGCATGCTGGGTACATGCCACCCCCAGCGGGCCTGTCCACTGTGCCCAGGCTGGACACAGGCCCTGTCTCTCTAAGATCCTCCTCCCTATCACAGAATCCCCACAAGGAGGTTCTTCCCAGTCTCTTCCCCCAAGGACTGGGCTGAGCTCTTCTTTGGCTCAAAGGTTCCAACAGCCTGCTCCTCTGGACCTTTTTGGTCTTTCATGGGCTTCCAAGGCCAAGAGCACCTCCAAGGGGGATGGCGTCCTGAGAGTCTGCCATGCCACGGCAACTGGGGGAAGGAAGAGTACCTGCCCAGCTTGCCTCCTGTCTGTAGCCACACTGAACAGGGGAGCAGTACCCCAGGTTGCTGTGTTTCTTACCGCCCTAAATGCCAAAGCAGTGTGGGGCACTGAGTGGGTGCTCAGTATGTGCTGGTGAACGGACAGCATCCAGACTCCCCTGCCCTTCAGCGTCCTCAGCAGCTCCATGACTGATCAGCCAAGTAACACAGGGCACCACTTATTCAGTTACAGAAGTAGATTTCCCTTCACCCAGAAAACACACGGCTACAAGCCCTCTCTAGTTTTCAAACATGTCAATGTCCCGTTCCCAGAGAATAATTCAGGTTAAAATATATGATCCCCAAATACTTACAAAGCAACTCTGTCTTCCTCTTTCCTCCTGGTTCTGCTCAGGCTCAGTCCAGGGAGTTCCCTGCAGACCCTTCGTGGAAATGTAACTCTTTTGCCTCCAAAATTGGGCCACTCCAACCTCTTGTCTCATTTTGTCAGAGTTGCAGGGTAAGGACTTGGAAGTCTTCATAGGGAAGGGTGATCATCACAGTACCCTGGTCCCACTCAGAACTCTGAGCTCACTGCCCCATCTATGCATTCCTTAAAGACTATCGCCTTTCTTTCTTTTTTTTTTTGAGATGGAGTTTCACTCTTGTTACCCAGGCTGGAGTGCAATGGCGTGATCTCAGCTCACCGCAACCTCCGCCTCCTGGGTTCAGGAAATTCTTCTGCCTCAGCCTCCTGAGTAGCTGGGATTACAGGCATGTGCCACTGTGCCCAGCTAATTTTTTGTATTTTTAGTAGAGACGGGGGTTTCACCATGTTGACCAGGATGGTCTCGATCTCTTGACCTCATGATCCACCCGCCTCAGCCTCCCACCTCGGCCAGACTATCACCTTTCTTAGGCATTTTGGTGTAAGCACTTTTGCTAAGCAAAATTAAATGCTCTTTCCAAATGATCCTGCACCATTGAACATCAAAGCCGAGCAAGATCTGTATTTGCAAATACTTCTTAGCATAAATGAAAATAAGCCTTTGAAATTAATACAGTTGCATTTATTACTCTATAGGGCCAAGTCATCAAGGTTTTACTAATAAAGATTTTTTATTTCATCTAAATGAGTAAAATTTTACTCTAATTATAGATAGAAATTAATGACATGCTGAGATATCTGGCATTCATCACAGAGAATTTGATTTTAATTGTCCACTAAGAAAACTTCACCATCCTCAGCACATCAAGCCCCTTCCCCAACAAAATTAAGTACTTATTTTTAAATGCGGCTTTCTAAAAATAAGCTGACATGTCTCTTACATGCAGCCAGCAAACATATAAAAAAAAGCGCAACATCATTGAGCGTTAGAGAAATGCAAATCAAAACCACAATGAGATAGCATCTCACTCCAGTCAGAATGACTATGATTTAAAAGTCAAAAAAAAAAAACAAAAAACAGATGCTGGTGAGGTTACAGAGAAAAAGGAATGCTTCTACAGTGTTGGTAGAAGTTGGGAGTGTCAGTTAGTTCAAGCATTGTGGAAGACATTGTGGAGTTTTCTCAAGGACCTAGAGACAGAAATGCCATATGACCAAGTAATCTCATTACTGGGTATTACCCCAAGGAATCTAAATCACTCTATTATAAAGATACATATACACCTGTGTACACTGCAGCCCTTTTCACAATAGCAAAGACATTGGGAAAAAAACTAAATGCCCATCAATGATAGACTGAATAAAGAAAATGTGGTGCAACTATACCATGGAATACTATGCAGCCATAAAAAGGAACGAGATCATGTCCTTTGCAGAGACATGGATGGAGTTAGAAGCCATTATCCTCAGCAAACTAACATAGGAACAGAAAACCAAACACTGCATGTTCTCACTTATAAGTGGGAGCCGAATGATGAGAACACATGAACACATGGGGGAACAATACACACTGGGGCCTGTTGAGGTCAGGGAGGAGGGAGACCATCAGGAAGAATAGCTAATGGGTGCTGGGCTTCATACCTTTGTGATGGGGTGATCTGGGCAGCAAACCGCCATGGCTCACATTACCTATGTAACAAACCTGCACATGTACCCTGGAAACTAAAATAAAAGTTAAAGAAAAAAGTTAAAAAATAAGGCCAGCACAATGGCTTATGCCTGTAATCCCAACACTTTGGGAGGCCGAGACAGGCGGATCACAAGGTTAGAGGTTCGAGACCAGCCTGGCCAACATGGTGAAACCCTGTCTCTTTTAAAAATACAAAAAATTAGCCAGGCATGGTGGTAGGCACCTGTAATCCCAGCTACTCGGGAGGCTGAGGCAGGAGAATCACTTGAACCTAGGAGGTGGAGGTTACAGTGAGTCAAGACTGCGCCACTGCAGTCCAGCCTGGGCAACAGAGTGAGACTCCTTCTCAAAATAGATAGATAGATAGATAGATAGATAGATAGATAGATAGATAGATAGATAGATAGAAAAAAGATGACATGTCTCCAATACAGTCGTCGTCATCAAGAACCTCAAATTCTGGCATGAATATTAGGTTGCTGCAAAAGTAATTGCAGTTTTTGCTGTTGAAAGTAATGTAATTGCCATTACTTTCAAAGGCAAAAAAAGTGCAATTATTTTTGCACCAATCTAATACATCAGGGGATGATTAGCAAAGACTGTGCTATACTAGGGACAGATGCTCCTGGATGGGCTGATATACAGCTAAAGCCCAGAGATCCATGTGTTTTCTCCTTGCATGAGTTACTTTGCCAGGGACTTTGGTCAAAGGCGAGATTCCTGGTAAAGTGTAACTTGGGAGTCATTTGTACTCTTAACATGTCTAGACCCTCATGCCATTATTTGAAAGTGCTCACAGAAGATGCCGGGACGGTTCAACCATATTAAATTAGACTTAACTCCATATTTCATGACTTGGTTTATCTACATTATAAAAACTTAATCTCCTACTTAAAAAAAAAATCTAACAGTCACGAACATAAAGGGGCAGTTTTCCTGACTTGTCAAGCTCTGTAAGTGGGGAAAGTGACACATCATTTGAAACCTTTTGGTGCAATTAACCTTCGGGAAAGGAGAGCTACTTTCAGAGCAGATGAGTGGGGAACGGCTGGGTCTTCGTGGCTCTGCAGAAAGCATGTGATAAAAGGCTGTCGGTTGGAACTAGGTCTCCTTGGGTATTGCTTAAGACAATAGACCCACAGCAAGAGCCTCTTTTTGCAAAGCAATTTAGATCAGCCCACAGTGATTGTTTGAGGACTTTTAATATGCAGATATATTAGGGAAAGGAACCGCTAAACGTTTCTGAACTTTTTTCTTTTTGAGAAGGAGTCTCGCTCTGACTTGCAAGCTGGAGTGCAGTGGTGGCTCACTGCAAC